TCCCGACCTTCGTTTTTGGCTGTGACCACCTCTTGCAACACTCTGCCAGCGAAAAAGAGTTCCATTATCCTGGTAGAGGCACTGTAGGCTGTTTCCAGGGTAGCCTGTGAGCCAGATCTAAACACCCTGCGGCCCCTGGGCCTTGAGTTTGACACTTATGGTAAAGAGAGATTATGATTAAAAGGTTTTCACATATTGTATTCGAAATTTTAAATTTGCTTTAAATCAAGAATGTGATTATTAATAAATATAATGGACATGCATTGAAATGGGTTCTCAGTATAAAAACTTTAGTTTTGTTTTCAGAGGTTTGCTATTTGAAAAAAATTATCTCTATATCTTGTTTTACACTTCATTATTCATGGACAAGTAGACATTTCAATCCAATATGTGTCTCTTTGTCAGAATTTTTAACAGAGTTATGTTTTAAGAACATGTAATCAAAACAATTTAAATAGTTTTCCCTCTGTGATTTCTATCAATATCTGCCCATGGGTAACAGCAATATGCTATTTTTTTAAAAAAACAACAACAACAGGGAATTGTTTTAGCTCTGAAGGAAGAAAAATGGAAGGATTTCAGAACAAATATAAGAATAGAATACTGTTATCACAGAACATTGCGCAAAATGTCAGAACCAAAATAACGAGAAGAATTTTTTAGCAATAGATATTGTGCCCTATATAAGATGAAGTGGTATAATATTAGAGGCAGCAATTCAGGTGACAAAACATAGAATCAATTGCATTTCAGATTTATATGAAAAGCACAATAAATCTGTCTTTTTATCAGAAATTCTAGAACCATGCTGTAATACTTTCAATGTATGTGCCGGATTTCCATATGTGCAAAGAAGCTGGCATAGATTCTTGGCATACTGGCATATTATATGAGTTTAAGACAGTGTTTTCTTCTATTGATTAGTGAAACAGGCAGCTTTTTCTGTCTTAAGTTTTATTAAAAGTAAGAATGGTCTACTTATGCTTACTGCTAACAGTTATATCCACCTTAGGCCCATACTCCTTATTTGAGTTTCTAAGTGTAGAGGGAAATTGTTTCTAGGAAACAGCTTTTTAAGTTCATGAAAGTTGCCCACATAATCATTATTCTTCAGTTATCTTCTTAAAAAATGTCATTATAGTATAAATATAAAATATGAACCAAGAATCTATAGCATTGTGAAGGATAACTGGATATTCTTCTGGGAATGGTGTAGTTGAGACCTAACAGCTTCTAGGGGGCTAAGCAAATACAGGTGATGTTATGATAAATTTACATAGCATTTTTTGTTTCATGACAATTTCTTTATTCATTATATTACTGAAAATAGATTCAAGCTAAATAGATTCAAGTAAATATTATTTCAAGAGGGACATTCCTTTAATTTTAGTTCACCATCAAGGTAAAGGCAGTTTATGTATTCAGATCTGGTTTCTGAAGCATGCAGGGTTTTATGAAAGTAACATCTGTTATAATATAACTTGTTTTGAGGAGAAAATCTGCATTTTTATTGATTTTGCTCCAATAAGCAATAAATTTTAAAACTAGATTGAACATCTTTCTTCATATTTATGAAAAAGGTGCAATTTAAGAAAGTAAACTCCTTTATTTCTCTCCCCCCCCCCCTTATTTTTCCTGTCTCCCTTTTTTATTTTATAGCACAGTGCCCAGCAAATGAAATCCATACAGAGTCATCTGGTGTAATCCTCAGTCCAGGCTATCCAGGAAACTATCTCAATTCACAAACTTGTGCCTGGACTCTTAAAGTTGAACCAAATTATAACATCACTGTTTTTGTAGAATCGTTTCAAAGTGAAAAGCAATTTGATGAGCTGGAAATCTTTGATGGTGAGATTCTGTTTTTATTTGTTGGTTCAGTAATGTGGAAGGAATTAAAGTTCATACGGGCCTCATTATTCACAGTCTCCTTATCTGCAATTTCACATATCTAAGTTTTGGAAAATAAAAACCAGACTTTGGTATCCAAGAGGTACCTTCAGATTTTGTCTCCCCCCCCAAAAAAGC